TGCAGGAATTCAATGCCTGTGAAGTATAGTGCCTTTATAGCTATTTAGAATGAAATACAGTTAATACAATACCACTTCTAACATAATGATCATTGTACGCAAGCATGTTTTGTCTTGGCGATGTTATCGCAGCATTGTTTCCCTTTAATTACAAATCGAATTCAGGGAACTACTATCAAAATGAACAACTAACGCGAACCTCGTACAGAATCTTAAAAGCATTGAACACACTTTTATTTTCTAGTAAACGTTGCTCATTTCGAGAATGGTTTTGCTCGTTTCCGGTGCCTGTAATGGAGATTTACTCTTATATTTTGGGTTTAAAAGACTTAAAAGGAATTTGGTAGTTCGCAATTGACGTTCTCGTGGAAAAATATAAATTTCACAAGCTTAATATACGTTTGTATATTGATCGAATATACAGAGATGGCAAACATTGTTAAATAAATAACATTTCTAGTCAAGCGCGACCGATCGAGAGCGACACACGATCAATGATCGACACCAGCCAACTCGGTGCGTCTAATTTGCATATGTTGATCGAGCGAATTTATTACGTAACTTGATTACATGATTTATGCAGAACATTTGTACATAAGTGTATGGCATGCAGAGTGTAGAGTGCTTCATAAATTTGCATTTAATCTTGGAGTCTATTGAACAATCTTGCGGATCGGGAAAATATTACGTTGTCACGTACCATACTAATTTGTCCGTAAACGATGTTACAGGAACAGTCGTTTCTACTTCTCTATCACAGCAGAAATGAATTATACTCGGAAAGTAACCGCTTAACCGCGAAGATATTGAATACGATACTTATTAGAATGTTAATGAAAGATAATTTAATCGTGTAATTCGAATGAAATAGTCATCGCGTTTGATGTAATTCGGTGTGCTGTGTAAGTGCATAAAATCCATAATTCAGTACGAGCAGACCTGAGAACGTTTTCTAAAAGTTATTGATGTTTTTAATCGTATACAACAATACCGATATACTACTATCGAGCCGAGATAGTTTTCTGAGAAATTTTTACTTCCGAACGAATATAGTCGTTAGATTAGCGCTTGAAGGTTACTACGAACAGTGAATGACCGAGAAGTTGACGAGTAGTTGGAAATTTTTGACTGCCACTGCAAGACCGAAATCTTTTTAACGATTTTTCTAGATAACCGCAGAATACGATGAATTATATAAGCGAGTTTCGACTAATTAATGGTAGAGAAGAAGCGTCCAATTTCTAAAGTAACTTACACTATTAACGTTTACTAAATTTTTAATATTTAAAATGGTAGATTAAACGTTTTAACATCGATTGTGTCTTATGTAATGCTATAGTATAAAATATATAGTGTATATATTTGTTATTTATATAAAAGATATTTAAATGGAACCTATCGAAAACATTAGGTTCGGGGAAAGCTGGAGAAAGCCATGTATGGGTATAAAATTATTAGATGTGCTGATGATTAATCCACTGTTTATCAATGTAGTGGCAATTTGATTCAAGTTCGGGAACGAGTGGTGTGTTTAGGAAGCATTTGCTTTATATTGACGAAAGTACTAAATCACATTGGCACAACTAATATTGAACAACTCTAAAAATGTATGGATCCATAAACCAATTATTTCGAAGGAAACACCGAAAAATTGGAAAAGAAATATTTATAGAAACGTGTCAAAAGGTACAGGTTCACTAGTCCCTATTTTCGACGCCCTGAACCGGTAACTGAAACTTATTCTTTTTTATTATCTATAATTCGTCGTTTGACTAAACAGAGTTCACGTTTGTATAAATTTGAATTCGAACATACATTTGCCATTTGTCTTTTGTTTACTGAAATGTGTTTAATTAAAACTAATGTTCATGTAACTGTCAAACATGTGTAAGTAGATTTTCATTTCGATAAACACTGTTTCACTGTGTTTCGTTTCAGCATAGGCTGAAAGATGTATGCAATAAATTTGTACGATGTAAATACTGTATATTACGAAGCAAATGGCGAGGATGATAGCGACGATGTTAATACTGCGATTATTTAATACGCTAATATGATAATAGAATTAAGTGAACGGTAGCAACGACGACAATTGTAATTAGGATAGTGTATAGTGACGAATATTAAACGGAGTATCGTTTAAAAGCGATAGTGTAATGAGATTACGATATTATTATTAGATACCTCGTCGAGAACTCGTATTATTATTTTCAATATAATTGTATTCAACAATATACAGGTACTTACACGACGATTATTGTATCGAACTGCAAGGGAATCCTGTCCTTTCATTTTTACGAAAGAAAGAAATATATGAAGCTGGAAATTTGTACGTGATCTTGTTGTTCATATTTAACCCTGACTACCAATATACAAATATTTTTATATCATATCCTATATACGATAAAAGGCAGAAATTAATATCGAATGTAATGTTCGTTTAAAAAATTTATTTTTTGCACTGTAGTGAAGCGATTTACATGCTCCATTTTTATAGGTACAGTACATCGTTGACGCATGTGTACAAAATAAACGTTTTACACTCGAGACGCCAAACAGGCAGAGTCGAATAATTAATTATCAAATCGCAGTACATAAATTCAAATACTCGTTTTTCAAATATAAAAGCTATTGTAACTTACGATGCTTGCTGTTCCATGAAAAACAGATTTAACGTTTGCAAAAAGCTTTCGCGAATTCATAAAGGTCTGATGTCAAAGAAATACGAGATCGATTTGCAAGGTTCATCACGTATCTTCAATCGAGACTGAGATTTCGCGTTTCCCTCCAATTTAAAAGTACTAGAATTATTCTAGCCACATTTAATAATGGTCGTATATATCGAAATCTCATGAAAATACAGTTTCTCGTTTAAATAGACAATGCTATCGATGAAATACGAATTACCACTTTGCCAGTATATAAGACTATAGAGAAGTAACTCGAAACAGAGTTTCTTGGATACTCAAGAAACGACTAAAATTAATTTCATGTAAATAAATTATATTTTATATAGAAAAATATATGGATTTTATTTACATAAAATCGTAAAAAAAGAACAACGACGAATTGTTCCTCCGGCTGCAAAGTATATCGTCCTATCTAACGATCTATAAGATGATAGATGCTTGTGATGTGAGTGAAAATTATATGGAATGATCGACCATCACATTCTGACGACACGTTACAGTAAATATAGTAACTCTTCTGCTGTTTCTCGAGTCGTTGAATCGTTCAACTCTTTTTCCTTGGCAGCATGAGTGCCATTAGTCCCCCAACTGAAATGAAACGAAGATCTTATTAAAAATCTGTTGCATTTTCTTTTTACCGTTGATTTTTTTCTATTCCCAGCTGAAAACTTGGAATCGCTCGCGAATCTTTATTAAAATTACACTTACGAATGACCAAGCTGCCGACCAAGAAAATTGGTACTTCGCAGCTAATGTCGAGCAGCATTCCGAAAGCCAAATTGCTAGCTATCGCTCCGACTCTACCAAAGAAGGTCATCATACAGATGGCAACGGCGCCCACGTGCGTTGGAAATATGTCGACCACAACACTACCGATTACGAAATTCGCGGTGACTATTGTCAACGAGAATACGCAGGTCACCATGAGTATCTGCAGGGAGGACTTGACGAAGTAGATCGCGAACCCGAATATGCCCGCCAACAGCATGGTTGTCACTGAAAAAACAGTGGAATTAGAATTTTTAAATCACTTTGGATGAAACAGTTCAGCGTACAATTGTAAAAGTATAATGTAAATGATATAGTAGAAATAATATAGTACCAAAAATATAGTACAAATAATATAGTAGAAAAAATATGGTAGAAATAATATAGTAGAAAAAGTTGAATAGTTGACAGAGATCTACTTCCATGTAATTATAAAAAATGGTAATTGTAATCAGATTTTTCATTTCTTAAATGCATTATTTGTTGTACCACCAATTTCCCCATAGAAACAAAGCTAGAAAGATTTAGTGCATCTATACACGCTTATTTATTCACCTGGTATCGTCCGACGTCCAACTCGATTTGCCAGGTAACCAGACGCGATATTACCGAGCAAGCAAAACGCGTTGATAGTTAGCGAATTAATAAAAACCATTTCGTCCATGTGAGGATTGCATTCATTAGTGACGACAGATGAATCTACTAGGATGTTGCTTAAGACTGCTTTCGGATCAGGTTCGTGCATCAGTCTGCACACGCTCACTGTTCGATTTGGATGAAGATTTTGATAGTTCTCGAAGCGATTGAAGAGCTCTGGTAACCATAAACCGAAACCATAGTATCTGAAAATTAATTAATTTATCCTGTTAAAGACTTATTGTAATTCGTAGATAAAAATTGAGTCAAGTGTACTGTAACTTAAAAAACACCTTAATGTCCGACAGATTCAGATCATAACTTCGTGAATTCGTATTGAACATTACATTTTAAACACAATTGAATGACAGAAGAAATAAAACTATTTCATTAAAAAAACTTACCCAAACATATTTGTGAAATAAATGCCCCAACTGAGAAGTGCGTATTTCAAAAGCGGCGGTGATGCAAGGCTGCGCATTTGTTGCCAAATATTTTTCACCAATTCCGTTAACACTCCTGATCCGGACAAGTTTGTCTTGTTAGCATTGATATTCACCGTCTCATCCGGCAATAGAACTTTTACCTAAATAAGGAATCTCTCTGTTTATTATGCAAATCTAACATTTGTTATGTTTCATATTCTTAATTTTAATTTAAACATTGGAAAGTCTACTTACGGGATAGTCATCCTCGTGGTTTCCAGTGTTTATTGCGTAGATTTTCTTCAAGATCTTCAAAGCTTGCTCGGTTTTACCTTGGGAGACCAAGAATTTTGGACTTTCCGGGTATCGAGTAGCTATCAGAGTCACCACTAACGTTGGAACTCCGATAATGGCTAGGAAAAGTCGCCAAGAATTGTAGACCATACCGTGGAATTGGAAAGATATCGGCAATGGGATGATTATCCAGGCTAAACCTAATGAAAGGATAGATAAAAAGGATAGACAATATTATTCCCAAACTTATGAAAAGTATAAAAAGATTTTACAAGAAAGATTTGTAGAAAAATGTTATATTTATATCATTTTTAAGGAAATTTAAGAAGAATTTACAAAATTTAAGGAAATCAATTTACCTGGCAATATTAGCCACGAAAGGGTCCAAAAGAATCCAACGTAACAAATGGTTTTCACCCTTTGTTTTTCCGCGTGGAATTCACCGAGATACGAGTAAACCAATGAACCAGGGGCTCCAATGCTGAGGAATTTGTAAAAAGAATCGTTTATAGAAAAAGTAGTATTTTTCAGTCTGCAATCAACACACAGTCTGGTACTTAATTTTTATCATGAAAATATTTTTGTTGAATCAAACACTTACAAAAATCCACTGAGACCTCTGAAAATCAGAAGAACTTCGAAACTTTGAGACAAACTTCCTCCAATCGCCAAGATGCTGTCGCACATCATTGTCAAAAGAAGGATGTATCTTCTGCCATAGGCATCCGCGAATACTCCCCAGAAAAGAGCACTGATAACGCCTCCTAATGAACAAAAAATGGTAACATTAATTTATTAGGAAATAAATATAAAAATACCAAGTATGATTAGAAAACTAATTACACTAGTACTTTGAAAAATCATATTTTTAAATGTCTCTGAAAATTACGTTGGTTCTATATATATTTTTTTTAATTTTCACATTGATATTTTATACGTTAAATGAGGTAATAAATTACCAAATAAAGTAATTATATGAAATAACTGCACCATTACGAACATACAACTTACTTACAAATGGCGCCTGCCTCTCCCGGACATAGACGCAATATTAATCGACTGTAATAGAGCGAGCAGCGAGTGGGACGTTAAATAAAAACTATTCTTCAATTTTGCTAATGAAATAAGTGCTATCGAACGTCTCTAATACGTTGCAATTAATGTGCACCAATCGAAACGAAACGTGTGCTCCTATGTTCCAATAGAACTGATCTGGTTGTGCCCGAAACACGATTTCCAACTCGCTTCCCCATCAAATTTATTTTTATACTAACACGCAGCACACAAAATATTTCCATGAAACAATAAAATAAAAATACCGAAATAGTTAAATAAAAATGATTCATACGCTATTACATAATGCACGCTTATTCCGTCTTGGCAAAAATAATTGAGAACAGTGCACCCGGAAGTCTTGTAACCGTCGAAACCGCAAAAGCCAAGCTTTTCGAGCTTTGTCCTACACTGTAGTTACAAACTTGCAAAAATTCGCCTTACCTACGAGGAACGAAACATTGAGGAGACCTTTCTGTTCGGATGATAGTTTGAGATCACACTCCGCGGATGGTAGAATGTACGCGTTAATGCCATTTTGGCATCCAACGCAGAGAAATATAGCGCCGCAAAGAAACAGGAAGCCATAGTGAAACCTCCCATACTCTGAAAAACGAGAACTAAATTGAGGATAATTTAAGTATGAGAATTTTATGGCGAAGATAGCTGAAATAATTTCCTAGTATCTTAACTCTTTAAGCCGAATTTTGTTTCCGTGACAGTAAAAAAATGTATGTAGTACAAAATTAGCAGATATCAACCTGTAAATACAAATTAACAATGTATTCAAAATTACAGTGACGTCGAACTTCCACGTCTGAGCGTATAAAAGTTTAATTTATTTAATTACTTCATTTTATTCGCTACTTTGGTATACAAAATGTATGTGACTTCGCACTTATTAATCTTAGTTCACAATTTTTTTATCAACGAGGATAGATTTAAGCATGTGTAATCCTTACCACAAAGTCTAATAGCTTTCTCGAAGTCTGCAGTTTCTTCTTTGTGTCCACGACTGTTTTCTGCAAACATATATTAATTTCAATCAATATGTTCTATTGATATATTATATTGTTACGATCATAAATGATTAATGATGGAATTTATTAACTGTTTACAGGAACAGATCGAGGAAACAGAACATGCACATCAGACGTTGATATTTCACGAAGATTTTCCGTGTAAAAGGAACAGTGTGATCCAGAATTCTTAGCGTTCTATCGGAGTCGTTTTTAATTACTATTAGCACAATCAAGATAGTGACACCGACAATTGATGGTAAATGCACAGTACGGCAAAGTCTATTAAATTTGTCTTTACGGGAGGTCAAGATAGTATTAATTCGACAACTGTTTTTCGGAAACGGCGTTTAGCCAGTTACAATAAAGACACTGAAATCGCAATGACAAAGAATGTTTCAACCTCTTGTTTCAATAATTTTTCAAGCTATACATGAATAATTTCTTCTAACTTATTTCTAAAAATGCAATCATATACTTTCGCGAACTAATTTAAAGGAACTAGAGCCACAAACTTTGCTCATAATATGGATTTTACGTCATTCTAAATTATATTCAAAAAGAATTAAACTTTTCCGAACTTTTTACCGAATAGAATTTTAGATAATGATGTATTCTATAACTGCATACACACTACGGGTGAAAAGTTTGTGACCACTTGATGTGTAAGGTCACAAATTAAAAATTACATATGTATTAAATATGTAAAATAAAATAAGAAAAATTATACATCTTTACATTTGATTAATACGCATATGTCCACGTCCTTTTATCATACGCAAGAATTCCCCGGTAAAAGTTGCTTACAAAAATGAAAGTTTTCCTTTTAATCGATGTATCGGTCCCAAACTCTTCATCCACAGTATAATTCTTAATCTCACAGCAATAGGTAAAATACGTGAAAATGGAAAATGTCTATGACAGTGAATGGTTTGGTCGAGTTCACACAGGCGAAGCTTTGGGCGTGTCGGACGAGGATCGCGCGTGCTTTTCCATTCACCTAAGCTTCATTTACGCGTGCTTTTCCATTCTTCTGAATTGAAAACACCTCGACGTCTAAATACGTCGCATTATATTGGTACAAATAGTACAAACGCGTTTACACGTCCGGACATCTAGAAATCCGTTAATCACGCGATCTAATAACAATCATTCGATCATGTTTTACAAAAGTCACAGCCGTGAGAATCTTGTCTTCCAATTTATTAGCCAGACTTACGAGAATGTGTGTTTAAGCTTCTTAAACTGTTTGCAGACGAATTACAAGGGAGACGAACATGTCACGCGTATTAATTCAACGGGATTACATAATCGTAAAACGATTTTCGAGGATCTCGATTCCACTTTAAATTTCACTGAACCTTTATTTCATATGGGATTAGCTTTAAATCTTATTTTTAAATCGTTAATACCTACATGAATCTTCAAACATTTAGACTACATGAATATTCAACGTGTAATAAAAAGTCCAATAATTATTATTATATTCTGAACGTAATATGATGTAAAGTAATTTTCTTCAATGGGAATGTCGACAAGAGATGAGATATATTTCAAAACAGAGAACACGGAAATAATGAGAAACGTAATTCGTGTACGTAAACCGGCAAATTACGGGATAATTAATAGGACAATTGTATCTTGACATTTTGGTAGGTTCCAGTGCGCATTCGTATGCACATTGAAAAGCATGCATCTGCGGATCGTGCTCGTGCATTATTCTTTCGGCGAACAAAAAAGGAACAAACTGTCGAACGAAAATTGTCACGGTCATAATGGAAGGAAGTAATTATTGCGAGTTCGGTAATAATTGTCCCGATGATGTTTCATTGCACCTTTGATCTGCGGAGACACGCAGTGACGGACCTAGTGTACAATCCTAGTTTGAAAGAGGACCGATTCCTATAAATTAATTAAGTAATTAAAATATGAATTCTATTTATTTATATTATTTCGATTGTCTTACAAAATATATAATTATTCGAAATATTGAAATTCACTGGTTTCTAATATATAATTGAAAAAAACAACAAAGTTCGATAGCGGTTATAGGTGGAAACGCTTCGATAAAAGTTATCGCTTTTTGCCGAGTCGAAGGAAATTAATTGAATTTCGTAAAATCACAAGTTGTGACGTACGAAACGTGATAAAGGACAAACGTTGATATGTCTCAATCAACAACGCGAATAAACACGTTCGGTGCTCATCACTGACGTAGAATATCTGGTATCGCACATTTCTGCACACCGAGAATGCAACAATCCAAATTTGATTACCTTCCCGTTTGACTTTTTTGTTTGAACAATTCACGTAATTGCCGTCGATGACACAAGAGTGGGTCTGGCGAAGCACGTTTATGCATATTTTTCTTCGTTGTTGGTAAATTGGTTGAAGTGATGTTCTTCGTTGTTTATACAAAATTTGGAACAGCCGAGGCCAATTTGATGGGTTAGTCAATACTCGTTAAGGAGTATTGTTTTATCACGAAGAAGTTTTTGATGAACGTACGTTTCGTAATAATATTATTGAATACCTTACTAAACAAATTGAGATTTCTTTTTTTAATTTTTCCGATGAAAAAACATTCTAAATTTCATTTTTTTGACAATTATCTGTTAATGTTCGCGAGTAGGTATATGTATTCATTACTCGCGATAAATACTGCCGATAAAGTGATGATGATTAATGAAGTAGTTGATAATTTTTATTTAAACACTATTAATCCCGTTGACATTAAATAACTACACTTCCATCGATTCGAGTTTAACGATTCGCATTGCTGCAAGTTCATTGGACTCGGTCCAATGAAGTGCAAACCAGAATGAATACGAAAATCTAATTAAAACCTAATTGAAGTTTAAAATAAACCATGTTTGTTATGCATTGATAGGAACAAAGAAATATAAAGTCGTTCGCTTATAGAAATGGAAATTTCTTTAATACATAACGATATTAAAAAAATCGATTAAGATACAGGAATGAGATATTCACTAAATGTCCAAGTAATTAGAATGCCATCTGTTCAAGTGTTCTGGCAATTTAAAAATTTATATTAAGGTTTTTCAAATCCTTCTGTGCAACATAGATGAGAGACGATAAAAATAATCCCATGAGAACCACATTTATTCACTATTTAGCAGAGTAGCATATTTATCCAATAAAAATTATACTATATAAAGAACAATAATTAGCGAATCTAATATTCAATAAACACAACAATTTCGGATTATGGGTTTACTAATTAAGCAACATTTTACCATTATACGAAAAATATTATGAAAAATTTTCTACAGTTGTATGTAAACAACAAAAAAAAGCATACCTCTGTACGACGTCAAACTTTAATTTACCATTCCTTCTCCAAATAAAATCGACATTATCCGAAATTAACACTCGTAAGCTTCTGAATATTAAACTTAATTATAAGTTTAACAGAAAACTACCAAACGGGTCAAACTGACCTATTCCTTATTTCTTCTTTTTGCAGATATAAAAAAGTTAACAGATGTTTCTTTGAGATATTAGAGACTTTGACTTAACAATATGCAAACTGAGTTCTAAATCAATTAAAGCTTCAACAGATGTACTCTTGGAGTTTCTATAGAGGAGTTTCAAAAAGTCAATTTGCTCAGTAGTTTTAGTGTTAAACATCTTCGATATCATTCCCCGAAAATATTTTGCATTTCAAGATTTCACTCTGAAAATCATGTGCACGGATATATGCCGGGAAGACAAAAATAGCGATATAACAAAATAAAATCGTAAAGCTTCAACAAAAAGTAGCTTCCAGTGCAAGACATTCCACAACGATTCACGGATCTCTCTTCACGACAAAATTGGATTTCTTCGTGGCACGACAATAACAGGCAACAACGAAAAGGGCTTAATGGTACCGGAAATCGTGCAGGGTTCCCTAAGATGAGTTTCTGATTAAATAAAGGTGTACTAACCGACTGAGAACGATAAAGACGCAATCTGGTTCACCATTGCGATTCGAGCATAGGCCGGTGTCTTCTTTCTATCGGAGCTTGGGCGAGGACTGTCGGAAAGCGGGCAGAATCCACGGTTTCCTTCACGTGTCGCGATCAAGACGAAAAACGTCCACGCGATCCACGGCTGCGTCGCTTTAAATATTGTCACGCGCTTGCACGATCGGCCAGCGGCAAGCGGGAACGTGAATCGCGAGCCCGGAAACCCTCTCTACCGATTCCTTCCTCGAAATTCACGTGCTGAACTGAACTTTTCTTACGCACCACCCCAGTATCGCAAATTATAGTGACGCGCTCGAAATTCTTTACCATTTCGCGATCATTGACGCACTGCAGATCTGTCGAAGATGTTTATACCGACCTCTTCAAGGTGCATGCGAAACCGCAAGACGATCTTTTGTTTTCTACTTTGTGTAATTAGTCGTTCTACAGTGAAGGAATACATGGTTGGATAAAACGTGTGGCGTGAATAATCGCATATGATGAGGGATGTGAAATTGGTCAAAAGTTTGAACTCTTTTTGCGTATGGCGTATGGATTATTGCGTTCGTTTATGTAGGTTTTGAAATTTACATACTGTTCCTTATTTGAAAGAAATAAGAAAGAAGCGAATGATGATTGAGGGTAAATTTATTTGAATGGATATAAAGTTTGTTAATAGTTTAGCGATCGTGGTTGTTATCGAAAATCGAGTATGTAGTAATTAGTAGTAACAATAGAGCAACGAGATATATGAAGTAGAAAGCGTTACTTATAGAAGAATTACGTACGTTGTGGGCTGTAATTTCAGCGGAAATCGGCCAGTGGTTCCGAAGTTTCGGTTAGTACTTCATATTGTATCTGAAATAGCTTCGAACAATAAAGAACAAGTTTAAATGTAACGCTGACAAAGTTATGGAGATAACCATAGAGTTTCCTTGGTGGATTGAAGATACATATCTTTACATCTTTCCCCAAGTATAAATAGTATATAGTACGACGCTGGCCAACTTTCAGGCTGCGATAGAAGTCTATTTCAGTGTCAGCGTTGTACTAATTTCAAAAGCGAATCAACTTTTGCTCAAGAGTTCAAGAGATTTTGTAAGAAAATTCGATATTCGTTTAAAAATTGAGTAAATGAAAATAAATATGGAATAAAAGTAATTTCTTGTGTACGACAATCCCGTGTTTCTTTAAATAATCAATTCTGAGAATTCACAAACTAAGGATCGTATAAGACCAGCTCTTATCAAGAATCAAGTTGAACGATCGAATTCTCAGATACAAACTCGATTATCTTTGTGATCAACGTTAGCAATAAGAAATATGAGTTTTCATGATCTATCAATTTTTTTAGATGCTTATGACTTAGTATAACAATTATAATTGCATTATCATGAATAAACTATGAACACTGACATTGTTAGAAGAAATAACATGAAATGAAAATCATTCGGTACTTGTTACTGGAATAAGAGAATAATAGAAGGCGTGACAGCTAAATAGAGTATCGATACCGTTCCTAATTCTTCAGGTCAACGAGCCTAATTACAAAGAACCGCACCCAGGGCAAACACTATTATCGGTATCCCCGCATTTTCGTTAAACGGTATACTTGTACGATTATTGTAAAATGTTGATTTCATCAATAAAATTCTGAAATTTATAATAACAAATCTCATTTGTTTCGTCACTATCTATTAGTTCTAATAAGTTTTCTATAAATTCAATCTGAAATACAAAAGTTTTAAATGTCTAAATAACAAAAGTTTATACATTTTTTTGTTAATTGAAGTTATGTTCTATTTTGTATTACAAATACAAACATTTCAATATCAGTGTCAATTTAAATTTGTTACTTGCATAATCTGAAAAAACATTTTCATATAACGATCTTAAAATTATCGATAACTTCGGACACGCAATAAAATGGTACAACAGTGTTATATAAAAGATAATTTTTCAATACAAGGAAAACTATTCTATTCATTGATATCATTTAATGTTTAAATGCTATTATAATCTACCATTATGGAATTTTTTTATTTTTTCCAATATACATTTACAAATATACATATACAGGGTGTTAGTACAACCGAGTATAGGGTAATTTTAGGTGTATTTAGAAATGAGTTTAAAAAACGATATAACACGCGTACACATACACATTAGAAATTTCAAACTCGATGGTTTCGAAAACAAAGCGTGAAAGGAAAAAATGTTCTTCCGTTTTTTCGACTTATTTATACACGTATATAGAAGCATCCCCTGTCCGGTTGTTACCCACCAATCACATCCTGTATATAGTTACATATCTCTAAGATTTATAAAATTGATAAATAGTTATCTAAATAAGTTTACTATCTAATATCATGATTAAAAAATATATATTTACAATATACAGATCTAAAAATAAATTGAACAGATGATTATCTTCGATGGAAAGTATAAAGTATTATTTTCATATGTGAAAATACAAATTGTAAAGAACTTAGATCTTATTAAAATTTAGTAATTAAGAAACAGTTTAAAGTTCTGACACACAAAGGAGGAAGTAAGTTAACAATGTGTATTTACATGAGTTATAATTTCCGTGTAAAAACATGCATGGATGAGGTAAATCTAAGTCGATTTTTTTTATCGATGATTATAACCTCTATATACACATAACCTAACACTTTAGGTGACTATATATTTACAATGAGACTAGTTATGGTTTTTAAAAGATCTTAAATCGAATTCCATTTTTATATAATTATTTAAGAAATATAGTAAGGTTAGTAATTTATACTTTATTAGTGAAAGAGTGACAATAAAAATGTCACTGTAAATATTGATAAATATTGACTACAGTCTTCGTGATTTTATTTACAACCACTCCTAATTATCTAAATATAATGTTATAGTTTGGCAAGGATGTTACAACTTAATGCAATTGTTTGCATTATGAGTACAAAATTCACATCTCGATTATATTGGCGATTTACTACATTGTTTTCTTCAAACTCAATGAGAAGTGCATCAGAATTTAGTACTATGGCTCTTAAGGTAAAATCTATTGTTTATAAATTTACATTTATAATCGTTGATTCTAAATTATTTGTTGTTTTAAAAAGCTAAGTAAAAGTGTAATTGTTAAAGCAAAACCATGTGTTACCATCAAGTATAAAACATGTGACCTATCAGAAAAATTTCGAGACACTGAAAGAAAAGGTGCTAAGCTCTTTAATATCTAAGCTATCTAATACATCAATAATTCATAAACTTCAACAAGCTAATAATATTGATGAGTTGTTGAAACTTATAAGTGTACCAAATTTGACTGAAGCTGAAATTTCGACAGTAATGAAAGCTATTATATCTTGGGTAAATGAAAACAATAAGGCTAACACAGATAAAGAAAATAAAATTGAAAATGTAAATAACAGGACTGATCCTAAATATGAGAAAGCAACATCAAAAAATAATTTAAAGACCTCAATAGATGACTCTTTATTGAAATATAAGGATCTTTCTACCTCTTCAATGATCCAGGTAACTGCGTAAAGATTATTTCTGTGTTTGATTTATTATACACTTGATTATATGTTTTATCTTATTTAGGAAGTATTAAAATTAGCAAAAGAAAAGAAGAGACAAATTAAAGAACTAAACTATTTGCTTGAGGGTATTAGAAAATTTAATGAAAAGATAAATGTACATGATTGTTCAAGCTTATTGTATAGTATGGCCACTTTGAAATATATTGATATGGTAAGATACACACAGACATACATGTAAAAATCATAAATTATTTTAAAGGATAAACAATCAGAATGATTTGTATTATAGGAACTTTGTAATCTCATTAGTGAAACTCTTATAAAAAATATCTATATATCGAATATCACTGTAACGAGATCTGTTCTATACTCTATGGCAAAGCTTAGATATAAAAATGTAAAATTTTTAAAGCATATTTGTCAACTTATCATTAATAGTGGACAGTTATACCCTACACATATTTTAAATATTATACAATCATTAGCTATGTTAGGCTTTGTTTCAAAAGAAACAGATACAGTCATAAAGGTATGTAGAAACAAAAAATAATTTATGTGAAAATATGTCAAAACAATTTTGTTGGCTTTTCAAATTATATAGATAATTCGATTAATATAATATTTATGTAACTTACTATAAAGATTTATTTGGTTATTATTAGAGATACCTGCCAGTAGTAACGATAGATTTATTGGGAATTGATAATTGGTTAAATTTTGTCTGGTGCTTAGTTCTACTAAATAATGTACAAAAATCACATATTGCATCTGTATTAAGTAATGAATTTATCAGGACATTGTTTACTGCAGGTAAGATTCTTTACTAGTCAGAAAGGATTGTATATTAACAAAAAATTAATATTTCATCTTTATTGTAGATGCACAGAAAGATGTATTACAGCAAATAAAATTATTAAATATCAATGGTGCAGCAAAATACTTGGCCACAGATTATGATGGTTGGTCCTACTTAATATGTATTAAATATTTAACACATTAAATATTACATACTTAAAACCTAGTTTCCTATATTTCTATAAAATACTATTTTCAGGACCTTTACTTGAAAAAGATATAATTCAAAATGAAGTAGCAGCATACTCCAAAGAGAAACAGAAATATGTCCTTAAATTGGAAAAAACCTTAAACTTTATGTCACAATCGCAAAATTGTTTCCGGTCAAGTGTAAATACAGGGATGGGTTTTCTATTGGGTATGTGGAACAATTTATAATATATTATTGAAGAGACAATTACGATTGGATAATATTTCAGATGCTGAGTGCTATGTAAATTCTAATTTTAACTTTGTTGACCTAAATACTGCAAAAAATGATAAAATAAACAAGTAAGTGTAAAACAAAAATTAATAACTGCTATTGCACAATACTTTTATTTTTAGATCATATTATATTAACATTGTATAAATATGTGAAATAATTATTATCGCAAATTTCAGATTGGCTATAATAATAAATGATTATAATGCCTATTGTCATGGAAATGAGGATACTAATGGCATAGTTAAATTCCAAAAAAGATTATTAAACCACAGTGGATATAAAGTGATATCAATTTCTTATAAACATTTTGGTCTAGAAGACAATCTTGTTAAACTTACATCTCTTTTAACATCCCGCATTAAAGTATCGTAAATATGATTTATTAAAATGTCATACGTAATAAATGAACAATATAAACAATGTATTTACATTTATAATTTATGTTTATTTAATTTTTCCAGTCAATATTTATATAAATTGTATATAAGTAGTAATTCGTTTAGCACTAAAGCAATGGTTAAAAACATTTTATTGTTTATTATTCTATAGTGTAATAATAAATGATTCTTTTCTACAATTGATTACTTTTTTTTCTATATGTACATTTTTATTTTAAAAAGTACAATTAAATGACAAAAATTAGATTAAAATTAATAAAAAAAACGTATATACGTACATATATAGAGGTATGTACCTACATATATTATAGATCTACCATGATATTAGCGCCATCTGTCCAATTTATAGAACTCAGTCACTAATCACACCGTCAGAGATAGAATAAATTATATAGGTATTGTGATTTAGTGAAAGGTGTACGGTTAATTTTGTGATTATTTTATCAAAAAATATTTGTTTAAACATGGTAAATATTCATTTTTCATCTTCCATGAAATTAAATTTACACGATACTTTCAGCCTGAATATTACTTCGTATGATATAGAAACTTATATTTATGTACACGTTAAAATTTTTTTAGATGCAATTTATGTTATTATTCAGTCGCCAAGGAAAGTTGCGTTTACAAAAGTGGTATGTGGCACATCCTGATAAATTGAAGAAGAAAATTACAAGGGAATTGATTACAACAATATTAGCACGAAAACCTAAAATGTCAAGCTTCTTAGAATGGAAGGATGTTAAAGTTGTTTATAAAAGGTACACTGCAATTGTATAATGTTTTATTGCTCAGTATAGAATTCTTTTCTATAAATAAATATTTATTAACTTCTTACTGGAATGAAGAATATTAATACTTTTGTTTTAGATATGCAAGTTTATATTTTTGTTGTGCAATAGAGCAAAACGATAATGAATTACTTACCTTAGAAATTATACATCGTTATGTTGAATTGCTGGATAAATATTTTGGAAGTGTGAGTATAATTTTATTTATTTGCATTGAAGAACACGTGAAAAATTGAATTCTTTTTAATAAGTATTTTCTTTACAACTCAAAGTTCAATTATATTTATATACATTTTATTAATATCTCTGTTTTCAATAATAATTTTAATTTCTGTGTTATTAGGTATGCGAATTAGATATAATTTTTAACTTTGAAAAAGCATACTTTATCTTAGATGAACTATTGGTTGGTGGCGAGATTCAAGAGACTAGCAAAAAGAATGTATTAAAAGCCATTGCATCTCAGGATTTACTACAG